AAGCAAACCATATATTTTTTTTTTACAAACAAAACTGGTGCTCCCCAGGGTGAAGTACTCCTACGAATGAAACCCTGGCTGAGTAATTGCTGAATCTGATCCCTTAGCTCCCTCATCTCCATTGGTGCCATCCTATACGGTGCCATAGTTATAGTTGTAGTTCCTGGAGCTAAGTCGATCTCGCGATTAGGTGGTAACCCTGGAATCTCCTAAAATACATCCGGAAAGTCCTGTACAATTAGTATACGATCCAATGATATAGTAACCTCCTCCTCCGTTTCCTCATCCACATAGAACAAATAAGTGCTACCGCCCCCATTAGAACGTGTCATAGCTACAACATACATATCCTGACCAGGTATGGTGAACACAATAGACCTCTCAAAATAATTAACTTGGGTATGGTAGTGAGATAACCAATCCACCCCAAGTAACACCGTATAAGTGTGCATGTCTAAAATCACTAGATTGGCTAGGAATCAGAGCCTGCAAATATCTAGTGTCCCAACTACACCATCCAAACCAAAATACTAAATATTCTGTAGAGCAACACACAGAAGGTACACAAAATACTCCGAAATCTACTCAGAGTTAGAACGTCGCTCTATTTTGAGAATTCTTCCTTCTATACCAAACCTACCATATTGAGTTTACATGAGTTCTTTTATAACTCCTTGGTAATCATCCTATCGCAAGACAATGAACCTATAAGCAAAACTTTGTTTGCTTGCCCAAAAACCAATCACCCTACTGTGACTGACTTTCCTTCCTTATCGCAACATACACATTCCAATATAGTTTAATAAAAGCCATTCATGTATACATCACAACACAACTTTTAACAAAACACAATAGAGATAGCCAAAGCCACTAGTTTACTTTATTAAAACCTCTCTTAAACCACAACTGTCAAAAGAATAATCATAAAATATTCTTGAACATACTAGTGTATGACAGTTAAACAGTACTATTATTTAAACTACACTTCCACTCCTACTAGAAACGAAAATCATATCACTCCTAGAGGAACATTCATTCTTGAACTCCGGTAACCTCTATCTTGGACGCTACGGTATCTCCTCCATCCTGATCTTCTTCGGGTTCGTCCTCTCCACTTAGCTCAGCTTTGAGCACCGCCGAAGTTGTGTTGGGTCCACAGTATGGTGGCCAAACTTACACACTAGAAACCTTCCTTGGCTTGTACTCTAAAGCAACACCTATGGGAACCAATTCCTTGGTCTCCAATTCTGCCTTCTTGGTCTGCTTTCGCAGGGGAATTGTCGAAGTAACCTTCCTTTTCTTTTGGTCTCTCTTTGCTTTCATCGCGGACCACATCCTTCTTCTAGTGCCAAACATTTTGAAATTACAGAATAAACTTGACATCAGTACGTTCTAAATGAACCGTAAAGAAATTCAATGAATCCTAAACTTAAGCTCTAATAAAGAGAAAACGCTACGCGGAAGTCTTATACGAAACATCCAAGAGACACTTGAACCTGGAGTGCTCTGATACCAATTGTGATACCCCTCGGATCTGAGACACGGGTTGATCGGGCCCAGGCCCAAACCCGAGGGAATATTAAACAATTAATAATTTAGCGAACACAGAATACAAAACGAATTTAGGAAATAAACATTTAAGCTAAATGAAAACTAAAGTATATAATCCTTTTAAAATTTTAAAATCCCAAAGAACAAATATTAATCCATCTCCAAAACCTCCAAGAGATACATCTCGGGAATCCATCCAGTGGACCCCTAATAATAAATCCAAACTGAAAAATAAATCTAGAAAGAATCCATAAATAAATCGTGGAGAGAGATCCTACGTCGTCGGAAGAATGAGTAATCGTCTCTACTTAGCACGAACAAGCTCAAGTCTGGAATTGACGTACACCTAAAAAATAGGAGTGGGTCAGGCCCACGAACAAGTTCTATCCTCCTACAATCCAAGCAGAGACTCGATACGCATGTACATACCAAATAGTTCACAATAGCAAATAATCCGTACATAAATATATTCACACTATTAGACTCTCGCTAGACTATGAAGAGGCTCTCAACCTGAATAGAAGGCATCACGCAAAACGCACCTGAGTGGGCATGAGTACCTAAGCCTAAACAGGGTATACCTCAACCCTCACAGCCAGCTACGCATACAACTGTATATACACACCCAAACCGTCGACTCTGAGACTCAAGCTCATGTCGCGGTATCATAACAATATATCTAAACTCCGTTCCTAACCATCCATAAGAAATCCAGTAAGTCGTTTGGCGTATTCAACCGCACCGACTCATATATATATAAGGAGGATTTATTTAATAACCCATACCCTTATCCTAAAATAGGTAGGACTTAGCAACTTTAGCTAATCCAAACCTAGTATGACACCTTCCCATACCGGTGCATACAATCCCTTCCATCCAACAGTTGATAAAACATCGACAATATAGATATCAATATCTACAATTCCATACCAAGCATATTAAGGTATCTTATCAAACATGCTTAAATATAACCAACAGTTGATAAGGAACTGACAATATAAATATCAGTATCAACAATTCCAAACTAAGCAAATTAAAGTTTATTAACAAACATGCTTAAGTAAACCAACACAGCAACCTTTATTTGATTACATAGGACTGTGTTTGTATTTACAAGTCTATTCCCAGTATCCATAATTAATAGAGCCTAAATAAAGATTGTATCACTTAATTCTAGAGCATGCATAATCAATCTAGGCAATTGATCATATTTTTAATTTCCTATCCAACAAATTGATGTACTAAATATTACAATTTAATCATCAATTAATCCTTAGCAAAATATAGATTTAAACCAATAATTTTAAGTCTTTAATGTGTTTTACACTTCATTTAAGAACCCCTCATCAAATTTCAGAAATGCCTTGTAGCCCTTAGAGAAACAAAAATCCCAAAATTTCATGTACTGGACAAATACAAAAGGTTGAGGGGGCTCCAATTTACGGTAGAGGAGGCTCCACTTGGGTAGAGGGGACTCTAATTTTAAGTAAAGGAGGCTCCACTTGGGTAAAGGGGGTTCCAATTTTAAGTGGAGGAGGCTCCACTTTCCTCAGCCTCCCAGTACGTATTTCTATTCCACGAATTTGTGATTAGCAGTGGACAAGCTCTCACAGAAAATTCCTATATAATTAAGAAATTTAAATATCCAAATCCATACAGGTTTGCAAGACACATAAAACAAATCCATAAAGTTTTAAAGATTAATACTCCGTGTCCAATTTTACATTATTATATCCTTTGAGACTTTAATCTACTCTGGACAACCTCTAAAAGATACATTACAGTATTTATTCTCTTCAGAAAACTTAGAAATTCAATAACCAAAAAGCTTCCTCACTGAAAACTGAAAAACAAAACAAACAGAACGTAAAAACCATAAAGGAACAACATAGAGCAGGCTCCAAAACCTTGGAGCCGCCTCCAATGGCCTTGGAGCCGCCTCCACTTCAAGGAGAGCCAGCTCCCTCCAAGGGAGAGCCGGCTCTCTCCCTCATTTGCCACGTGTTTTCTCCTTAAGTCATCGTCTACACCTCCGGCACTTCACAGCTTAGGTTCCCAGACGTTCTAACTTAGTCCTAGTAGATTCCAACCCTTGTTTAAATCTTTATTATATTTACTAACATGGAATTGAACAGAAAACAGTGTAGGGAAAAAATTCAAGTTTAAACAATTTATCAAGCATAAAAGTTACGATTGAAATTTTAAATTATGGAAACAGATTACGTTTTTTTTATAAAACATATAATCCATCCTGGAACTATTTAAGTATGCAAAGAACACGAAGCCTAAGGGAGAGAGTTAAGACAGAACTTGCCTTTGAGACTTTTGTTCAAAATCTCTATGTCGTCTTCTAAGGTTCCGACGATTCCTACTGCAAAATTCCTCCTCTGTTCCCTCTCTGCCTCCACAGATGTGAATAGGTTTTATTTTCTTTTCCTAAAACCCTTAACAGACGTATCCTTTATATTTATAGAGTTATACCAAACCCTAAATTAATTCAAGCCCTAAACTGTATTCTAATCGGCCCATAGAAAACTTAATTAAAGTTTAATTATGTCGGCTACATCTGTGACGTCTAAAACCTAATTTAACAAAAACACAATTAACTTAAATCAAATAAATCAAGTAATATAACCATGCAATTAAACACAATTAAGAAATCGATAATTAAATAAAAATCAAGTAACTCAAGTAAAATTGACAATTAAATAAAAACCAAATAACTCAATAATACACTATTAATTACACCAAAACAAAGTTATCATTAAGTAAATAAAACTCAATCTAAACAATTAAATAAATTCATTAATTACACCAAAAAAAGTCACCATTAAATAAATGAAAACACAATTTAAACAATTAAATAAATTTCAGGACTATCCTTGTTAAATTAGGGGTATTACACTTGCTGCTATTATAGGGTGGTCTCTCCATCAATTGGATGTCCATATATAATGCCTTTTTGCAAGGCGATTTAGATGAAGAAGTCTATATGGCACTTCCACCCGGCTTTGTTCGAAAGGGGGAGACAACAGTCTGCTGCCTAAACAAATCAATTTATGATTTAAAACAGGCCTCAAGACAATGGTTTGCAAAATTTTCCTCACCCTTGTTAGATGCTGGTTTCAATCAATCCCGGGCAAACCATTCATTATTCACTCATATAATAGGTGTTTCTGTGACGTTTGTCTTAGTTGTGACATAGACATGGTCAAGGCTAGCTCTTTAAAGATGCAAGTTTCAAAAGAAAAAACTAATAATTTTAATAGCCACTTAAACTGAGAGAAGAAGAACATGAAATAAAAAAAAATTTCTCTAACACATTGTCATAGTCATAGTCGTAGTCATAATCCAAATGACAAAAACAAACACAAACAAATAGATAAGGAACCTTAGGTGTGCATACATATATAGCTAATCACTATACAAACACCACATACACTACAAAAATGGAAGCGGTCTCCGGCAATGGTCGTTACAATTGGGCCAAAGAAGTGAAGGAATTCGACGAAACCAAAACCGGCGTGAAAGGACTCGTAGACGCCGGCGTGGTGAGGATCCCAAGATTCTTCGTCCACCCACCTGAGAGTATTCACAGTCCATCGCCACCCAATAACATTAGTGGTGTTGAACTAGAGCTCCCCACGATAGACTTCCGAGGCGTCGAGAATGGTGGTGGTCGGAGAAAGGAGGTTGTGGAAGGGATTCGACAGGCGGCCTCAACGTGGGGCTTCTTTCAGATGGTGAATCATGGAGTTCCAATGAGCAAGATGGAGGCCCTATTAGAACGTGTCCGGCGATTCCACGAGCAACCGGTGGAGGTGAAGAAGGAGTTCTATTCCTCTGATAGTAAGCAGAGAGTGAGGTTTACCAGCAATGTTACTGAACTTGATGTTGCATGTGTTGGGATTTATATGCCCTGGCATAGCAAATTCTTATCTGGATTATAGTGACATATGTTCCTGACATATCTAAAATATTTATGATTTATATAATTGGTGAATTCAATGTATTATATTTCGATTCACTATGAAATTGATAGTGTCCCTGTGATTACGAGAAATATTTATATATATGTATGTGATGGCAATCAATGCATGATATATACATAATAATTATAAATTATTCATAGTCGGTAATTATGGATGGACTTATAATTAATTAAGACTTGAACTGGATCCGTGTTAGGTTGAGATATATTGCGAGAGCCGTCATATGCAATTGCTCCCTATCACCGTCATAGCATTTGACTCTTAAGCATGAGAAAATTATAGACTCTTTTATTAATTAATAATTACTTTGATTTGTTCGGCGGATTCTTCGGAATCCTTAGACCGACACTTTGGGTAGTTATGTAATTAATAGTTAGAGGGTTATATTTTCAATATTTGCATCATTGCTACTTGTATTTATTTTGTATTGATTATGGTTGATCACAAAGTAAATTCAAAGGCCTTTGTATGTTTTTAGACAAAATGATTTATTATATATTTATTTATTAAATTATTATTTTTTGTCAAACAAATGTTTTATTGTGATCAAGCCAGAAATAATCAAAGGTACCAAAATAAATATATTAATTAAGTAGTCGGATTGATGGCATTATTTATCTGATAACTAATTATGCATAGAGGGGTCAAAGTGCAATATTGACTTAGTGGTTATTTATTATTTAATTGGAGTTCAATTAATTTCTTTTAGTGGAGTAGAAATTAATTTATGAATTAATTGAATTGGGTCCATGGACCGGGCCAATTATTAATTCATTGTAGCCAATAAAATAATAGGCCTAATGGATTCTCACTCATAACCCAACTTGATATTGGAATCATATTAGATTTGAGACATGTGAATTAGAGATTGAGAAGGATTAGTTGTTTCCTTTTCTTTACCTTTATGTTGCCTATAAATATACATGGTCTATGTATATTTTAGGTGTGATTTTTAGTAGAAGGAAAAAGGAATATATTTTCTCTCTCTAGAAAATTAGGGTTTATGTTCTCAACTAATGGAGGCTCCCACAAGCCTAGTTTTCCAAGGTCATTCATGGAGGCTTATGAGTGATTCCTAAAGGTAAAATAATTACCAAGAAGATGGAGATCCATAGAAAATGTGTCTAGTAAAAGGGATCTACAATAAGTGAGAACATTCACTTTAGAGGAGATATCTAAGGTTTACTCAAACCTTGATGTAAGTATTCAATCTTTTAACTGAATGATACATCATGTTTTATTTTTGCATAAAACTTGTCTCTATGTGATGAATCAAGATCTATGAATTTAAATCCCTCGAAAAGTTTTTAAAACTAGCATGTTTCCCAACAGTGGTATCAGAGCATGGTTTGATTCATTACTAGAGATCATGATTTTATGAAAATTATCATTCATGGATACAAAATTATATTCGTATATATTTTTATTGATGTATGTTGATGTATGATTTAATATGTTGATATATATTGATACATGATGATGTATGAATAATTGTGAATAAATGATGATGTATGGTTGGGCCATGGATGAAGCTTATAGAAATATTGAATGTAATTTTATCTTTGGATGAATGTAATTAAGGCTTTGATTTAGCCGTTTGAAAGTTCAATGATGTAATTTATTTTTTCCATTGTATTTCAAGTTGTAAATATTTTTAAAGCCATGCAATATTCATCAAAGGATGTTATGAAGCTTCAAGAAGGTCCAAAAGGGTTAAATTATGCTTCAGTAATTTTTTGGAATTTTTCTGAATTTTTTGGAATTTTTCTGGAATTTTTTGAGGCTTAATTTAATTTTCTGGGAATTTTTCTGATTTTTCTGAGATTTTTCGGCTTTTTTCCGGTGGCCGGAGCATCGCCGGGGGCGAGAAGAGACGTCGGAGGAAGCTAGAATCAGGTGCAGCTCTATGGTGGTGAGCCTGGCGCGTGAGGAGCACGTGCCAAGAGCTAGAGGCATTGAAGACATGCTGGCGCGTGGGTCTCACGCGCCAGCCAAATCAACCTTCCCTCCACGCGCGTGCAGGCGCGTGGAGGTGTGTTCCACGCGCCCCACGCGTGTGCCAGCGCGTGGGGGCGCGTCCCACGCGCCCCAGGCGCGTGCCAGCGCGTAGGGGCGCGTGCCTTCACCTGCAGCATGCCCCAAGCGCCTGTGAGCGCGTGTGGGGCACTCCAGGCGCGTTCCAAGTGGTGTTTTGCTTCTCCTGGTGCATACCAGCCTTATATGGGTGTTTGCAAGCCGATGGATGATCTTCCGGCAATACTTAGAGTAGTTAAATGTTAAAAGCTGATTCCATTGGCCATTTTATTTGCTTTATCTGTTATTTATTTATTTATGCGATGTATGAAATACATGGAATATATAATTGTTAATTAATTATTATTCATGCATTGGATTCATGATATTTATTTAAATGGCTTAATTTATATTAATTAAGTTATGAAAATTAATTGGATCTGATTACTAATTAATTTGAGGGCACTTATTGGGAAACGCAAAATTATTTTTTAAAGTGTGCTTCAAATTAAATATTAGTGAATCGTTTAAAGTCCAAATATTTTCTAAATTTAATTGGATTAAAATCAAGACGTTTTGCATGCATTATATCATGTAAATGAATAAAATGGAAACCCTAATTATGAATGATTAAAAATTGAGTGGGAGCGGGGATTTTTATACATTGTCCCATGGCCTTTGTTATTAACACCATTGTAATTAGGTCTTCAAAAATAAGGCCCCACGCATGATTTGAAGAGTCTTAATATTACAAGAATGGTTATCTCATGAAAATAATAATATTAAATGTTCATTGTAATTAGATCTTTAAAAATAAGGCCCTACGCATGATTTAAAGAGTTTAGATTATAATGACAAGATATTTAATGTTTTATTTTTCATTAGAGCATTAATAACGTTATACACTCAATCTAAAATCAATAGTGTTAGCTCCCCAACGGAGTGGTCTATACTAGGTGATTTTAGAAAGGCTAAACATAATCGGGAATCATTTCATATAGATAGACAAGGCATTGTCTTAAGAGATATGGAAATGATGGGATTTGCCCGCCAATAGCAATAATGAACTTCGCCAACTGAATAAGTTATTGACGTATTGGTTTTTCGATTTTTCATGCAGTGGTTAAGGGACCCACATACTATTTTAATGAAAGTGCTCGCCTAATAGTAAATGAATCTCAACAATAGTAATAATGAACTCCTCCAACATGATAAGTTATTGACATATTGATTGGTTGATTTATTATGCTACAGAGTTGAGGGACCCGCATTAATTAAAAGGAATTGTTCACCAATAATGATAATGATCTCTTGTTCGATTGAGATTTATTGTATTATGTGGTTAACAAGCTCATTTTAATTTTAAATATGCATGACAGTATTAATAATTCACCTTGCATATTGTATGAATGTATTTATATTCAGATTAATTATGTCTAATTCAATTTATCTACTTGCTTACATATTCAATGTAACTGGGCCTCATTAATATTGACTGAGAAATGAACTTAGATATTTTATTCACAACGTAAGGGTACAAATGTATTTACTACTCCTAAACTCAATCATTTTACTTTAAGATACCCAAGAGAACATTAATGCTTTGAATAAGTGAAATAAGGCAAATGAGATGACTTGGTGCAATATTCTAGAGTTTACCTCGAATATGCTCCAAAGCTAACATTTACATTATTTTATTTTCTTCAAGCATCATGTTAAATGTCAATAAGATGTTTTGGTGAGATTAGATAGAAAGTATGCCAAAGTACGATGTCAGACTTGAATAGCATTAAGATAGCCTAAGGAACTCCAGTATGAAATCAAATTTTGGAAAATGATTGTTTATTATTTAAAATTAGCTGGAGATCAATAGGGCTGACTTAGGTGGTAAGTTTCAAGTTGACATGATTATTGCCTTGTTACCAAACTCGTTCGACTCTATTAGAGTGAACTAAATAAGGAATCAGTTTGAGTTCACACTCGCTGATATTCTTATAGAATTGGTAACAGATGAAGGGATAATCAAAAGTATGGGCATTCCTATCAATCTAACCTAGTCTATACCATCTTCTTCTAGGCCCAAGTGGACGGGCAAAGCAAAGAAGAAGGATGATAATAGGACTAGGCTAGCACAAAACATGGGTATCCAAAAGGTTAAAGGGAATAAGGTAGTGTATGTTGAGGGCAAAGAAAACTGTTTCTTTTGTTGCTAACTAAGACACTAAAGGACAAACTGTCTAAGCAATGACGTGGCATAGGAAAATATATATTTAATCATTGAGCCATGTTATATGGTTGTATCTATTAATTCCTGATGAATAGATTCTAGAGCCACTAAACATGTTTGCAATTCATTGCAAGAATTTCAAGAATCCAGAAGCCTCGATGATATGGAATATATTTGTACTTGACCTGATGTCAAGGTTGTAGCTAAGTCAGTGGGAGTATTACATCTGAAATTAGAGAGTATGAGGATATTAGTATTAGAGAATTATCTTTATGCACAGTGGTTAGACGCTATCTAATTTTTGTTTCACTTGTGGTTTATAAAAACTGTGTTGTTATTTTCTAAAACTGGTTTTATAAAATTGAATAGATATGCGATTGCTTCTAGTGCATTGAAAGATCGTTAATATACTATAATCACAAACTCTTAAGATTTGCAGGATGTAGAAACTAATATTGCATCTTCTAGATTGAATGTTAAGAGAAAAATTGTTATTCCTGGCTCATTGTATTTTTAGCGTCTATTTTGGGTTGTAATCAGTCAAAATGAGATTCAAAGATTGGTCAAAGAAGGTTAATTACCTAGTGAGGCAGAGGAGCCTAAACCAAACTTGTGAACCCTGTTTTGAAGGATAGATAACTCTTAGGACTTAATCAGCCAGATGAAATAGACATAAAGGACAATTGGAGTCGGTACACACTGACACGTGTGGTCTTATGAACATCCAAGCAAGATTACTCACGTTTTGAATAAATTTACCTGTTGCGACACAAGTCTTATGCTTTTGGTATATTCCGAGAGGGTTAAGACTGATGTGGAGTACATATTAGGTAAACTTATCAAGACACTTCGATCTGATCGAGGATATGAGTATTTCTTCGGATAGTGCAAAGACTATATGGTCAATGAGGGTATTGTGTACCAGTTTTCCGCAATTGACGCTAAATGCATTTAGGTGTCAAATAGGAATAACAGAATTCCACTTAACATGGTTAGATCTATGATTAGTTATGCCACATTATCTCTTTCATTTAAGAGTTTAGCATTAATGATATCGATGCGTATTATGAACTGCATTCCATCTTAATCTGTCTCAAGGATACCGTTGAGTTGTGTTTTTGACTAAATCTTAGTTTGAATCACATGCGCATATGGGGTAGTCTTGCACATGTGCGCTTGATATGGACAAGTAAGTTAGAAACAGATCATACGCATGATAGATTTGATAGCTACTCTAAAATGTCACTAGGACGGATTATTTTATGATCTCAATGATAAAAGTTGATTGTTTACACTCAATGTTTATCTATAGGAGAATCATATTATGAATCACATACCTAGTAGCATAGTGTTAGAGAATATGGTAAGAGTACCAGATGTACCACATATGAACACACTTAGTATAGAGATTTAGAATTATAGATGAATTTCCTATTGATGCGTCAGCATCATCTAGTACACAGATTCCTGCATTGGTACATTAATGTAGTGGGAGGATTATCATCCAACCGATAGAATCATGTTTTTAGGTGAGACCATTATGGACATCCCTGTTAAACATGAGTTGGACCCAGTAAGCTACACGGAAGCATGAACCGATATGGATACAGATCGTTTTGGCGAGTTACTATGAAATCAGAGTTGGAATCTATGTATTCTAATAAATTCTGGGATCTTGTAGAATTTTCTAGTAGGGTGATACCTATGGAAGGCAAGTTAATCTACAAAAAGATACCAGAAGATTTCTTAGTGAATAAATCATTAGTGTGCAAGGGAATGTCATTATTTTTCTTAATTCTATTTATTGATGACATCCTACTCATTTATAATGACGTGGAAGTTTTGTCATCAATAAAAAGGTAGTTGTTCAATTACTTTTAAATGAAGGATTTTCAAGATGTAAGCTATATTCCTAGGATCAAGCTTTTGCAAGATTAGGTTAAAAGGAAAATAGGTTTATCTTAATAATCATACATTGATAAAGTTTTGACCAGGTTTGGTATGCATAACTCAAAGAATGAGTTCTTACTTTATTGATATGGATTGCTCTATCTAGTAATTAGTTTTCCAAGACTAGCAGAGGAGATTGAGCAAATGAGACTGGAACTATATGCTTTGGCATATGGGAGTCTCATATATGCCATGGTCTATACCAAACAGGACATCCGCTACATTGTAGGGATAGTCAGATGATATCAGTCCAATCTTGGACTTGATAACTAGTTTGTTGTGAAAAATATCATTAAGTACCTAAGGAGAACCAATGATATCATACTCATTTATGGATGTGATGATATGGTCCTAGTCAGGTATGCTAGTTCTGATTTTCAATCAGAAGTAGATACTATGAGGTTCATGACTTAGTGTATGTTCATTTAATGGAAGGGAAATCAGTTGGTAGATTGTTAAGCAGATTTCAACTACTGACTCAAATCTGCAGGTGGAATACATTGCAGCCTTAAAGGCGGCAAAATAAGCCTATTGGTTTGATCTCACTGATTTAGAGGTTGTGGAGCATACTAGCTTGCTTATCGAGCTATATTGCGACAATAGTGCAGAAGTAGTCCAAACCAATGACCCAAGGTTCCATAGATGAACAAAATACACTGATAGGAAGTATCATGTTCTACATGATATTGTCCGGCAGGAAAATGTACTTGTGGTTAGAACATTGCATTGGAACACAACTTTGTTGATCCATTAACAAAGGTGTCATCGATCAATAGTTTTGATCAACACCTGGATAACATTGGAGTTAGATGCAATTTGAATTGGCTATGAGGGCAAGTGGGAACTGTTGGGATTTATATACCCTGGCATAGCAAATTCCTATCTAGATTATAGTGACATATGTTCTTGACATATCTGAAATATTTATGATTTATATAATTGGTGAATTCAATGTATTATGTTTCGATTCACTATGAAATTGATAGTGTCCCTGTGATTACGAGAAATATTTATATATATGTATGTGATGGCAATCAATGCATGATATATACGTAGTAATTATAAATTGTTCATAGTCGGTAATTATGGATGAACTCATAATTAATTAAGACTTGAACTGGATCCGCGTTAGGTTGAGATATATTGCGAGAGCCGTCGTATGTAATTGCTCCCTATCACCGTCATAGCATTTGACTCTTAAGCATGAGAAAATTATACTCTTTTATTAATTAATAATTACTTTGATTTGTTCGGCGGATTCTTCGGAATCCTTAGACCGACACTTTGGGTAGTTATGTAATTAATAGTTAGAGGGTTATATTTTCAATATTTGCATCATTGCTACTTGTATTTATTTTGTATTGCTTATGGTTGATCACAAAGTAAATTCGAAGGCCTTCGTATGTTTTTAGACAAAATGATTTATTATATATTTATTTATTAAATTATTATTTTTTGTCAAACAAATGTTTTATTGTGATCAAGTCAGAAATAATCAAAGGTACCAAAATAAATATATTAATTAAGTAGTCGGATTGATGGCATTATTTATCCGATAACTAATTATGCATAGAGGGGTCAAAGTGCAATATTGACTTAGTGGTTATTTATTATTTAATTGGAGTTCAATTAATTTCTTTTAGTGGAGTAGAAATTAATTTATGAATTAATTGAATTGTTTCCATGGACCGGGCCAATTATTAATTCATTGTAACCAATAAAATAATAGGCCTAATGGATTCTCACTTACAGCCCAACTTGATATTGGAATCATATTAGATTTGAGACATGTGAATTAGAGATTGAGAAGGATTAGTTGTTTCCTTTTCTTTACCTTTATGTTGCCTATAAATATACATGGTCTATGTATATTTTAGGTGTGATTTTTAGTAGAAGGAAAAAGGAATATATTTTCTCTCTCTAGAAAATTAGGATTTATGTTCTCATCTAATGGAGGCTCCCACAAGCTCAGTTTTTCAAGGTCATTCATGGAGGCTTATGAGTGATTCCTAAAGGCAAAACAATTACCAAGAAGATGGAGATCCATGGAAAAGGTGTCTAGCAAAAGGAATCTACAATAAGTGAGAACATTCACTTTAGAGGAGAGATCTAAGGTTACTCAAACCTTGACGTAAGTATTCAATCTTTTAATTGAATGATACATCATTTTTTATTTTTGCATAAAACTTGTCTCTATGTGATGAATCAAGATCTATGAATTTAAATCCCTCGAAAATTTTTTAAAACTAGCATGTTTCTCGACAGCATGCTGGAGGGATTTGTTAACTTGTGCTTTTTATGATGATACATTGGACTCTGAAGCTATTCCTCTGGTTTGCAGGTACTTACAACTTCATGTTTACAACATTCTATACTTTTATGGATCATTGCTTGATGCATAGATAAAAAATTAATTAAGTAGTATGATCTCATATCTTATAAAACGAATGATATCATGCTTAATCAACATGAGCTTAAACTTTCAAGAAACCGGGAAAAAATGTTTAGGTTAAATGAGTTTGAATTTAGATATCCTCCTCTTAGATCAAGAGAAATTCATAACTCAAATTTTCTCATTTGCACTGCACGGTCTGTAGTATAATGTACGAGGGAATGTGAAAATCATTTTACATGAGTTTGATCTATGTGTCTGTTGAGACCACTCTATGCCCGAGACCATCCTGCCGGCTCCTAATTTGTTGGTAGTATCCAACTTAAACATTTTAATTGCACTAACCATATATTAATGTTGTACTAGATCACGTACTACTTTGTATCTACTTCTGGATTTGCAGAAAAGAAGTGCAAGAGTATGTGGAATGCATGATCAAACTGAGGGAGACAATGTCCGAATTACTATCAGAGGCTTTAGGGCTAAGCAGTGACTTCCTTTCTCGCATAGAATGCATGAAAAGTGAAATATTGGCATGCCTTTATTATCCAATTTGTCCTGAGCCAGACCTGACCTTGGGCACCACCAGGCATTCAGACACCTTTTTTCTAACTCTACTCTTGCAAGACAACGTTGGTGGTCTACAAGTTTTTCATCAAAATCAGTGGATTGACGTGGCTCCTGTCCCTGGAGCTATAATAGCAAACATTGGAGATCTCATGCAGGTATATGTGTGTGTATAAATGTATAATATATATATATATACTTCACAATTTGAATGAATCAGTTATGATCCACCTAGTAACTACTTCACTATTTACTAATTAACTCCATTTGTTTTTGTTTCCTCTATAATTTCAGATTATTAGCAATGATAAGTTCAAAAGTGTGGAGCATAGGGTGTTGGCTCAGCCTGTGGGACCAAGGATATCAGTTGCATGTTTCTTCAGTGCAAGTGGTAGGGCTGCTGTTGCATCTAAGCCTTTCGGACCCATAAAAGAGGTTCTGTCCGAAGACGAACCGCCTATATACAGAGAGTTCATTTGCAGGGAATACCAACAATATTCCAAGACCAAGGGAGCAGATGTTACCTCAGTCCTCCCTCACTATAAGCTCTGACGAGTTCTTCACCATTACTGCTATCTATAGAAATTAAGTTTAATTAAATAAAGCTGTTCAGCTTTCAGGTGATCGATAATAGATGATCTGTAATAGTAGTACTACTCATCTTTAAAATGTTTGTGGCTTTCATTTTTTTTTTCTTTGGCAGTAGTAGGAGTTGTACTGCTCATTATCAGCTATGTAATCTTGTTTATTCTATACGAAAAAAATAATAAAAATCTTGATTGTTGCATTACAACTTTACTATTAGCTTTATAGTGATGTATGGGCATAGTCTCGTGTGGGGCCTTAAGGAGAAACAAATTGCCGTTTCTGATGCTGACGGGCATGAATTAGGTACCAACCAAATATTCTAGTCACATGGATCCCGGGTGGAATTTGTGAGATATATATTTTGTAATTGGTTAATTTCGTTGTCAAAACAAGTCCAATCGAGTTATTATTTTTCTTTCAAAATTTCAAAGAATGAAGATCACATGCGGATTTAAAGAAATTCAAGTGTTCATAATATACTACATTCCGAGATGATGAGAACAATCCTTTAAGAAGTTTTGAGGAGTAGTGAGAACATTTAGGAAGTGTTTTGAAAGGTTTTAAACAAAATTTTACATTCTATACATCTTGAACTGGTTCAAGATTTATCGAACAGGTTCAACATCAGCAGAAACTTACTTTATGTATTTTGATTTATGTGTTTTAGACCAAAAGAGTGAAAAGAAAAGAAAAAGATTGAAAAATTGTTTGGAATGAAAAAGTGTTTGAAAAGGAAAGAAAAATATTTGTTGTTTCGAAAGAAAAAGGTGAGATGGAAAGGCTACCTTTGGGATTTATCCGAAAGCTGCATTGACTCGAAATAAATGGAAATAAAGGAAAGGGTTGACTACCCATAAGCGCGAAAGCCGCCAATGTGCAAAAAGAAAAATGGAGCACAAAGAGAGAGAAAAAAAAAAAAAATTGTCATTTGCACATGTTGATTGTTTGATTTCTAAGGATATGTGATATCATTGATTTATTATCTGAAATTTGAACAATTGATAGATCATATGTTTTTGGAATTTGGTGGTGATTTTACTACACTTACTAAGTTTGTGAAACTTAAAAGAATTGATCTTGGTTATTTGTGTTGAAACATATGATCTTGTGAAGTTTACATTCTCATTGGTTCAATTTACAAGATTTATATGGTTGGTTGCTTCCTATTTCTAGGATATTTCTTTCTTGAGATCCTTTTTAATTTGCGACAAAAAATGGGAGAGAGTTGAGAGACTTATCATTCAGGGGGAGAGATATTTGTTGTGCATTAAGGGGGAGAACCATTGAACATTGCATGTGTTTATATTGCGTTGATATTTAGGCATTAAAATTTACTATTTTATGCTTGTGTTTATTTTCTTGATTAACCTTCATGGGTAGTTGTGTTTGAGCTAATGGTTGGTACATGTGTTGAAGCTTCAAGGTTCAAGAAAAAATTCGCAGTTTATTTCCTTTAACAATCATTGTCATTTACTGTCCTGCTTGGGTAGATTGCTGAATTGTTTTTAGGGTTTTGTTACGAAATTCCCAAATGGGAAGATTGTGAGATATATATTTTGTAATTGGCTAATTTTGTTGTCAAAACAAGTTTGATCGAGTGGTAATTTTTTGTTCAAAATTTCAAAGATTGAAGATCGGATGCGGATTTGAAGAAGTTCAAATGTTCATGAATTATTACACTCCGAGATGATGAGAACAATACTTTAAGAAGTTTTGAGGAGTAGTGAGAACATTTAGGAAGGGTTTTGAAAGGTTTTAAACAAGATTTTACATTCTGTCCATCTTGAATTGGTCCAAGATTTATCGAGCAGGTTCAACATCAGCAAAATTGTCAAAACTTCAAGACTGACCATCTTGAACCGGTTCAATGAGGCTGAACCGATTCAAGAATCCGAGGGATTCTTTGCTGGTCATCTTGAACCGGTTCAAGGGGACTGAACCGGTTCAAAAAGTCCTGGTAGTATTCCAATTTCAGTTTCCTTCTTCTGATTGTTTCCTTTTTTATCCCAACTTATTTCCAAGTCTTATGTACGGAATTTTTCATATTTTCTAAGGAATTAGGACTTAATAAACTCTATATAAATCTTGTTAGTCTTCTAGGTTTATTCACGGCTTTAGGGAAAATCAATTCTATATTTTGAGAAAACCTTTTAGAGAGAAAATTCAGAAAATCAAATCTGATTGTTCTAAATTTATTTATGAGAGCATACACATATATTCAGAAGTGATTTAATAGTGTTGTTCTCAATCTCATCGGAATTGGAGCTATATTGAAGATTCAGATATTCCGTATGAAGAGCAGGATTTAGTTCTTCTACATCGAGTTTAGATCTTGAAAAATAGAAGTAAAAGCGATTACACTTTGAAAGGGTTAAAGCATTCGAGGAGTGTTGTCTGATCTACCTGTAACTCTTCTATAAAGATCAAGTATAAGCCTAAGGTCAAATTGCTGTTGGATGGAACATCGCAAGGCCAGAGGATTGTCAGCAATTGGTGTTTGGCAGAACGATAGGGTGTAAGCCAGAGTCAAAGTTCAGTGTACTTTGTTTCAAATATAGTAGATCGGTTTACTTTGGACTGAACAATTCACGAGGTTTTTCCCATACAAACAGTTGACGTATTTTATCAATTGGGATTTCCTTGCTAAAAATCACAGTGCAATCTCTTTAACTCTAACTTGCTTTACTTTTAAGTATTTATATTTATGATTATGGATGTTTAATTGATCATACAATTTAATTAATCATAAATTGAGCAAGTTGACCTAATAATTAGATCTAGGTCATTAAAAGAGTTAATCACAATTAAAATCAACTAATAGTTTCCGCACTCTGCGTAGCTCTATTTTCACATAATTGAACCAAAGATCTCTCAGCCTTGGCCACTAAAAAGTTTCAATTGTCATTGACTAATTTCATAGATTATTTCATGGGTTTGTGTTTGAGTTCAACCAAAGACCTTTGTTTCTTAAAAGATATAGTCCGGCCAACTGTTTGCATCCTAAAATAATTTGTTTTTAATTTTACCACATGACGGAAAGCTTTGTTATTTAAAAATGTGATATCAATTGAGATTTATTGAATTATTTCTCCAACAATGAATTATTTTTCATTAGCTAGCTTGTTGCCATTTAGATGGCCGGCTCAGTATGTTCCTCAATTCCTCTTTGGATGCAAACATTACATCAAAGGTTTTCCCTAATTCCTTATTGGAGAAGCAGAGAATGAAGTTTTGTGGAGTTTGATGGGAAGAGGGAAAACCCTGGAATTGGACAAATAGCAGTGTAAGAGAGAGAGCATTGATATTTGATGGCCGGTGAGATGAGAGAAGAAGACAGAGAGAGAATCCAACAAAGTAGGGCCGGATTGTGTTTGTAGAAGAAATATTGTTTTTGGGTCGGCCATTTGGAGGCCATGGCTTCGGGTCCTCAATATAACATATACATACCAGTGCCGGCTTTGTCTGTCCTTCCAAATATTTGGAGCTAATGTTTTCTCTGGTTTGGCAAGATTAGGCAAGAGTTATGTCACATTACATGCGATTTATTTACTTATTATTTATTTTTTCATTTCTTTTTTTGTTTTGTTTTGTAAGTGTCAAAAAGGGTGTAACTTGGGTTTGGTAACTCCAACCCAACCCAAGTTGCAGCTCAACTTTTCACCGACTTGGGCAAATATTTCTAGAATTAGAGTTTGATCTGGATTGAAAAATTTCAGTCCAAATTTAATTAGAGTTAGACTTAGATGGAAGTAGCAACTCGAATCCAAATTGTAATATTGTTTTCATATATATTTTTTATTTTAAATACTTCATATATGATATTCACTTTTTTTTCTTTTCTTTTCTTTTCAACATCCTTTGTTTAAATCTTGATTTTTTGTGTATTAACACTTTAGAAAATTAATTTTTTTAAAATTTGCAATAACTTTTTAAACTTTTTACGTTTAGGAGTAATTTAATTTAAAACTAACTCAACATCACATTAATTTTTAATGTGAGATTGGTCATATTGATAACCCGAATTAACTAGACTTGCTAATCCAAAATCTCGGTCCAAGTTGCAAATCGGAATTTAAAATAGAATGATGGGTTGGGCTAGGTTGTGCTTTGATTGAATAATTAGGTTGAAGATCGGGTTATGGTTGAACATTTCAAATGCCGAAGTGGGCTCAAATTATATCTCCAACCCGCCCGAGTTGCAGCCCTAGTAGATGATGGTAGAGTCAGTCCAACACCCTCATCATCCATGGGACATGCAATGCCCCTATCCCACGGTCCCACCAAATAGCTATCATGTTTTCTATTGCCAACTCCTAAAAAGGCAAAACAAAAACAAAAAGCATGTTTATTAATATGTTTTTACTTTTTTATAATTGAAACATATTCCATTTCTGTGGAAAAAAAAAATCATGGAAATATTATATTATAATTAATTTATAATAGAAATATAAAAAGATGTTTCCTATATTTTCGATACTATTAAGCAAAAACATTTTTCGCTACCTACTTTTACTACACGGACACTATTCCTTTTAAATAAAATTCATGTTATACACTAATTTTACATATTAAATAATATAAATATATATTTTTAATAAATAATCTATTATATAAAAGTGTGAATTATTTTTTGAGACAAATGTTTAACATTTATTATATTTTTTTTATTAATTTTATATAACATTAATAAATTACAATACAATGATATTTTATAGTGTTATATACCATATCTATATTATAATATATGTAAATATTATATTATAATTAATTTATAATATTATAATAAATTATTTATGTTATTACATAAAAGAATTAAGCAATTTTCATTTATTATAATATACTATATGCTAAATTTATTATATATCACATAATAATGTTACACATAATGGACAAACATGTGTTTGTATAAATAATTGGTGAGAGCTTTTTTTTCTTAGTATATCTTATTTCTATACTTATGTATT